TGGAGGAAACGCGACCATCACAACAAAAATAGAAAGGGTTTGGCACGTGATTTTTTAAAAAGGGGGTGAGTATTCTCGAAAAAAACGTCGTGAGAGCGTGCGAGAGGGTGCGATCACTTTTTGTGACGTACTAATGTGGTGGTACTACCAGCCCTATATCAGTACATCAAACAACTAACAACAAACAGCAATAACATCCAAGAAATACTTACTACTTGACTCTCAACTGTATGAGAGATGTGCATATGAAGTTTGAAAATCAGAGAGTGATTGGAAGTGTTCCTGTGCATGAGGTCTTTCAGGTACACTTTATGCAGAGTTATGCAGTAAAAATGAGATGAAAAAAAAATCTTTGTGGGAAATTTTTCTTATTGGTACCAAGGATGGAATATCGATTTCGACGCGTTGCGCACCCCTCCTAAATTATGACCCCTGATTGTGACCCAGTTCAAACGGACATGGCCGTTTTGAACCCTAACCCTATGTGTGGCTCGATCGCGTTCCAAACGTGTCGCAAGTGTCATCATCATGGTTCAATTGTGAGCCTAAATCACGAGTAGATAGTGAATAAGCTCACTCTTTATTGTAAACCACGTATTCATGTACACTAAGGAGCCTACCAATATGTGTTCATTCCCACTTGCGCCGTAAAAAAACCGGCGTTTAACGTCACTACGAGAGCGACTTTGGCAAAATAATTCGGCGGATTCGCCCATCTGTGCACAACACACTTTCCTTACACACTGTGGAATACACTTCTTTTATAGTTGGTGTTCTGCTCGTGCAGTAGTTTTTGGTGTCCTGCCGGTGGTGTGCTTTGCTCAGTGTGGTCGTCAAATGTCGATCAACAAAAAAAGTAAAAAAATCAGGTTTTGCAGTTTTTGAGACGGAAACTCATCTAATTGTCACACAAATCGGTCCTTTTCACTTTTCTTCTCGTTCCTTCGGAACCATTCATAAATGCTTCTTCGTCAAACAAACAATAAACCAAGTAAGTCAATCCACCACTAAGTCAATAAAGTATCCCAAGCAATACTTCGAAACTACAATGCCAGGAAACAACAACGACCTCGGTTCGATGCCCGAAGAGGACGCAGCAAAGGCGACCATTCCTCTAGCCTTATTCCTCAAGCTGGGTGATGCAACGACTCCTGGAACGGATGAGCGCAATATGCTTTTCATGGAAGCCCACATTGGGTTTTTTGCCTTTAACTTCTTCAACGTCTTGTACATTCTGGTCGTGCAGGGCATCATCGAAAGAGAACTCCAGAGAAACAAAATCCTCAAGATCACCCTGGGCGCCTGTTTGTGCCAGCTCATGAGCTGCATCTGCAGCATCCACCGGTACAACACCAACGACGAGTTTTCAGCGGATGGACCCTTTGCCCACATCAGCATCGCGACGGGCCTCGTAGCATACACCTTTGGCAACAGCGCCTGCGTCTTGATCGGCCTGAATTCCAACGCGCGCGAAAGCATCGAAAACTTTGCCGGGCTCGGCATTGCCCTCCATTATTCGGTGCTCGGGGTTGGTTGCTGCTTCTTGACCGCCGTCTATTGCTTTCTGCAGGGATACATCCACTGGGATCCCGATCCAACCAAACTGCAAAACTTTCAACCCTTTCGCAAATTCATTGGTGTTTCAACGATGTTCCAACTCTTGGCAATGGCACGGTGTCTGTACAAGTACGAGTATTCTGGCGTGTCCAATGAAAGGATCGACTTCTACCCAAACGACCCCGCGAGACGATCCAGAGGATCCGTGGTCCGGATGTTTCAAACCTGCATCTTCTTTGACCTTGTTGCACTCGGTCTAGCTGGCACCGGAATTCCTGTCGTTCAATATCCTGCTACTGGTTCGACCTTCTCCGTATTGACCTTGTGCAGCACCTTCGTCGGCCGCATGAACTTTACCCGAGCCCCTGAATCTACGGAAGGCGGGGACGGGACTCTGGGCATGCTTCTTGCGAGTGATACCGGCTATGGAACTCCTAACCCCCGTAATGTTGATACTGCGGAGGACATCGAAGCCGGCGCAGACGCAGACTCCAGCACCGTCAGCGAAGAATCCCGGAACGGATTTGTGATCTTTCGTAAACAGCGAACTCCTTGACGGAGGAGGAGCGGTTTCGGTCAGATAGTAGAAGTACCGTACAGTTGTTGTCGACATGAACGTGTGTTACTCTTTTTTACATTTACAATAAATTATATAATACAAGTTCTATGGTACTCTGCGATCGCCAACCACAACTCCACTGCCACTGCTCCTGATTCAGCACGCGTTTCCACACTTTGCAGAACTTCTTGTTGCAGCTGCTGCTTGTTGTTTCCATCCTTTCTGCCAGCACCAATCAACCCCATCCTCTCCATGATCCGCGACGTCAATTGTCGTGGTGCTGATGCGGATTCCTGTAGCGTTCCTTCCCCTCCAGTGGCCGGCTTGGTGTTGTTGTTGTTGTTATTGCTCATTTCAGAGCCAAAATACAGCAAAAACTGCTTTTTCTTTCAAAATACTCGGTCGATTGCAACGATACTTCCGGATCAAGTCTACTTTGATGTATTAAGGAGGTGTCGGACACTAGTTGTCTGTGTTATCGAGGGGAAGACAGTTTCTTTTTTGTTTCAGTATGGAGTTCGTCGTTGCTGTTTTTCGTCGATATTTTAGCTGTAGCTTAGGACTCCTGTTTCTTGTAAATCACTAGGTCGATCGATCCGATACTTCCGTATCCTTGAGCCCTTAACGTAAGGATTGAAAAACTTGTCTTGTGAGCGCGATTGGTTGGGTATTGATAAAGATCTGGAGGAGTGACAGTTTGCTTTGTTGAGGTTGATTAAATGAGAATATTTTATATTTTTCGTGCGCTCAGAAATCAACAAGCCGGACCGGTACGAGTACTTTAAACGAGAACTGGGTCTTTCAGCATGAAAATACTACGAGTTTCATAATAATTGCACATCGTCTTGCGCAGCGCGCAAGTGCTCGCAAGCTAAGACTTGAAGCGTTAAAACAAAGTTATCAACTTTGAATCAAAGTTGTCAACTTTCAGCCAAAGTTGCGAACTATTATACGTAGGTGTAAGTAGGATTAGTACTAGCCCCGTTAGGGGCACACCGGCAGGTCAGCTGCTGCTGATCCAGCTGATCAGCAAGCTGCTCAGCGAGGAGCAAAATGGATACTTTGGATAGATCCTACTACAAAGCTGTGTAGAAAATCCTGTAGAAAATTGTGGATCAAGGGGTTCCCTTGCCATTTTGCTTAAAATTGAAGGGTTTTGATTCCTCCTTCAAATATGTGCTGCTGTGTCCTACTACTGTGGTTGAACTAAACTTCCCTCCAGCGTGCTGATCCAGCACGCTATATTCAGCACGCTTTACAAATGTTCTTTTCATTCTATTCCTGAATCTCCACTGGATATGCTTCTTCCTCGTGTACTTCACACTACTGGTGGTGATATCTTCTTCCTGACTGATCCTATTGGGGAACCAGTACTATGAATTGCTTCAAAGAACATATTTACACCATGCAAAAATCTTGGCCACCACAAGTCACCATGCGGATCCTACATAGCTCAGTTGAATGCATGATTGCTATCCAAAGCAGATTCCATCTGCTCAGCCATTCACCGGTGTTCCCCCAACAGACCTACAGCACGAATGCTTTATGAAACAGTCTTGCATCCTGCCATTGAGTATCCCCTGCCCCAGTCCTTTCTGTCTTCCGCCCAACTGCTCAAGTTGGAAAGGAAATACTTTCCACACATTCTCTCACTCTGTGGCTATGCGGGAACTACCGCCAGAGCACTACTCTACGCACCACCAGTGTCTGCAGGAGGAGCAGGTTTCATACCACTGGAGGTCATCACTGGCAGAATCTATGTCACCCATTTCTTGAAACATTGGAGATCCAGTGATATTGCTGGGAAACTTCTTAGGACTGTACTATGGTGGTTTCAATTGTTCTCAGGCCTCTCCAAACATGTCCTTGAAGTTCCCTCCATTGCAATACCATACGTCCCTGGCAAATTTTTGCATCATGTTTGGCAATATCTGACTACTACTATACAGGGCACCATCACTGTTGACACCACAGGGCTGGTGCCACCTCTCTGGCGTGGCGATCACACAATTATGGACCTTGCCCTTGCCAGCATCCCTCAGATTGCCACTACGATCTCAAAAGGCCATCTTCGCACGCTCCACAGGATCAATTCAGTCCGCATATATCTGAAGATCCAATGGATTAGCAAACTGTACCATCCTACCACTGCATATCCCTATCAGCCCAAGCCTGACAGACCAAGTTGGAATGCCTTTCACAAACTACTTCGCCGCATCTCCAGCGGTTCTGTCCCTGACAGGATTCTGACCAAAGCTTACGGCCTTGGCGACTGGTATCCTCATCATACTAGCCATGCCATATGGACTGCTTATTTGTCTAATGATCATTGACTATGGTGGACTTCACCATGCCCAGGCAAATGACAGTCCCATCCTGTTGTACTAACCCAAATTGGACCCCCACGACCATCAAGTGTCTCTGGTAAACACCCTCCTGGCCAACATGTCCTGGTTCTCACTTGGACATCCCAAACAGATAGCTTTCAATGTGATCCTACCAGCGCATGTCAAGTTCGAACTACCTGCAGCAGGCCCCTCCATGGAAGACCTAAGACATGGTCTGCAATTCTATGCTGCCTTGCTCCATGGCAACTCCAACTCCACAAACTGGTCCAGTTTGAGATCAGCTTCTCTCAAACTTTAGATGTACTGGCTACCGGAATACCCCTTCTCATGGTTTCAGATGGGTCTGGTAAAGATGGTTGCATGTCCTTTGGTTGGTTACTAGCTACCACAACTGGGGATAGGATTGCTCACGGCCATGCTTTGGCAATGAGAGCTCGCTTCACGCGGAAGCCACTGGATTGTTATCAGCTACCCTTTTTGTCACTATACTTGTCTTGCACCTTCACCAAGGGTATCATGAACTGAAGCCTTGTCTCCATTCCAAATATGGAATGAAATCACAATCTCAACTTGATGATAACAGTACACAGTCTGAAGCCAGTACTGACAAGATATGCTCATTACACACCTTAGAAAATAACTTGACCAATTTGGKCAAGTTATTTTCTGAGGGAGATCATACAGAGACACATCCAACCTCCCCATGCCTATCCCCAGCATTGTCCCCTCAAAATCACAGAAAAGGTAGAAATTTCCAAATTGATTCTCAATTAGGCAATGAATTGGAAAATTTCTCWACTTTTATCAGCAAGCTGAATGACATGCATCTCCAGGACCAACATCATCATCTTTCACCTTCACTCTCTTCTGATACAAGTATTTCAAGTTCATCTTCCTCTACTAGCACCACAGCACTTTGTCCAACGCAGGTTACACTTTTCAGTGACAGCAAGGCGCTCGTGACTAGACTCCACTCCAGAAGTGAATACAAAGAAGTCTATGCCAATGCTACTCTAGCACCAGAATTTGACTTGATTGAACAGATCTTTCAAACCATCCAGTCTCCACACATCACTTGCTCCTTCTCTTGGGTGAAAGGTCACCAAGATGACAATGTTGCTTTTGATCAACTTCCTCTGCCAGCCCAACTGAATGTGGAAGCTGATAGTTACGCTGGGGATTTTCATGCTCAGATGATTGAACCAAATTTCAACACACCAGTTTTACCTTCCTGTCCAGCAGTGCTTCAGGTCCAATCACGCTCTGTCACCAGCCAATATAAGAGAGCTCTCACAGATTTGTGTCTGCTCCCCCAATATCACACATACTTGGCAGAGAGGAACCAGTGGACTCCACAGGTTCTTGCCAATATTGCATGGAAGTCCCTGAGCATTGCCATAAACCGCATCTCCAGGAATGTCTTGGTCACTAAATGTTGCAACAATATTCTGCCCACTGCCACTGTTCTCAAAAGGTGGAACTATCAAACCCATGATACCTGCTGTCTATGCCAGATGCCTGAAGATTGTGAGCATCTTTTTTGATGTTCACATCCATCACGACTCAGATGGCGAAGGCAGACCATTACATCTCTCCAACAACGGATGTCCACACTTGGCTTCCAGCCAATTGCTATTGATACTCTTGCTACTTGTCTTACCAAATGCCTAGACACTGGCGCAGTTTCTCCAGAGAAGAATCCTACATCCCTCCATCCAGTTATCCATTTTCAGAGCGAGATTGGGTGGCACCATGTGTTTGCCAGCCATATTTCACTTCAGTGGTTTACTGTTCTTGATCTTCATTCTGGCTCCTATTCCCTGCTCATGTTGGGGGGTTATCTTGTGGAATTCTTTCTTACCTCTTATATATCATTATGGGAACAGCAAAACAAAGACCTCCATGGCTACACGCTTTCCCAGAAACAAGAGAAGCATCAACAGAGAGTGGTGAAGAAAATTCAAACCTTATTTGCATTGAAATATCAGACATGTCCTTCCCACGCCCACCTATTTCCAGCAGATATGGAGGCCTTCTTACTGAAGACTCCTACCTCCATGCTCTCATATTACCATCGAGTCTATGAGAAAATGATTTTGGCGAGCGTCTCCCAAGCTACAAGTGCTTTGGTCTCCAACACCCGCCCAATTACCCAGTACTTTACATCAWTGCCACATAGTAAGCAACCACCAGAGAGCATCACACAAGATTTACTGGTCTGTGACGCCTACTCCAAAAAGAAGCGACACAAACAGCCTGTCGTGCCAGAGACTTCTTTGGCTCCTCCTGTCCATTCTTCCACTTTACTTCAAACCAAGCTCAGTCAATACTTTTAATTCCAGTGAAACAAACCCCTGGTTGCACTTCCACTAACACTCCTTGGAGGGAAGTGCCGCCCCTCATAGCAGCTAGGAGCATTCTTTCTAATGAAAGCTATGGTTCTGGCCATATAGTGCCTCTTCTAGTTCACAATGTCCAAGAGATGCTTCTTAGGGTATAATTTTTGTTTGTCGCGACCATTATTTGTGCATGTTTTTAACATGCACAGCAAAAACTACACCCTGTTATTCCTTTGCTATTGCGTCCCCACTGTTGACCACTTTAACAGACAGTACCGTTTTTATTTTTCTTCGTGATATTGAAAAAAATAATTCATTTGTGCATGTCGCGCGCACCAAATATAATTCCATTAATGAATGAAAATTTTCCAAGACCCGTAACAAAATAATGTTTTGGCACAATCACATCGTGACACCCAAAAAAGACTCAATTGTCAACATTTTTACTATTGTCATCAATTCCTTTCTCCAGTTTCTTAGAATATATTTTCAAAATGTAAATTCTCACATACAGAATATTACTCCCMATCCTTTTTTTGTATTCTGGACTACTGCTCTATACTACTGGTAGAATAAATAGATTCTCAAAATATGTAATATATACTACTATTGATTTTCAATTTTATTCTAGATCATCCTCTTCCTTTTCTGTTTCTTCTCCATCTGATGATCCTGCTGGTATATCACCCAAACCATCCTTGAGCAGAGAAGCTCTCCTCAGTGCTGGATCAATATAGCTACTCTGCTTTTTCCTTTTTGGTCTATTATTACTAATACCAGTAGTATTGCTGCTACTACGTTTCTTGTAATTACCGCTCTCCTTCATGAACTTTTCTCTCATCTTTGTCTCTAACTCCTTCCCTGTAGTATTATCCTCACATAGTTTTGCTACTTTTTCACATAATTCATTAAACAAGTCCTTTCCTTCCTCCATCCAACTGTCCCTATTGCCACTCTCAGCATCACAATACCTTTTCTTCCTACAGCAGATCTCAGGATTTATCTTCCTCTGCTTCTGGTTCTCCCAAACATGGTGTTCATTGAAGA